GCCCTCAACTCAGATTTGCTAAAAATCAGTGGATGGTTGTTTTCTGACTGGTCGACAGATCGCCGACCGGTCGGCCCTACTGGTTGCCTGCAAAACAGTCAGCGGTCGGGGTCGGCGGTCAGCAGGTATGCAACCCTGAAGTGCAGCCCTGCCTTCTTCGGTCAGCACTAACTCATGTTCTCTTTTACTCACAGTTAACATGTGTACAGCATTCAGCCACATGGGCTGGCTTGAGATATCACCCCCTAATATTATTATATCCTAAGATCCCTCACAGGACTCTCAATCTGTTCATTAAACCACCAGTACTTCCTAAAGTCGTGCCCGTTAACGCTACGCGATTTTAGGAAATGTACGGGCCACTACAGGAGCGCCCAAATTCATCCAACTAGAAACTTTTCTACTCTATTTTTTTCCGCGGCCGATAGCTGGGCCAAGTACTGGTGGTTTAACAGGTTCAAGTATGTACCATTCATGAGCTTTTGTAGTCCTTAATAATTGGATTGGGGGGTTTCACTGGTACATTGCAGGCCTTGATAATTGGATTGATGGGATTTCAGTCAAGTCTGGATGCACCAGGTTCTGGAAAAATCAACAATCCATGCTGCAGTGAGGTGGAAGTCGGTGTTCCATAAGGCAGTCAACTTTCATTGCAGCCAACTTAGACCACTGATGCCTCTGGGCCTGACCTGCTGTGCCTATCAAGGTCTGGTATCGTACTCGGTTTTGGCAGTCTGTTAGGGGAGAAGAATCAAACCGTATTTATTGTAGTCACCGAGATGAAAAAGAACAGGCCCTCTCATGTGGTACAGGTTTTGTCCATTTACTAAACCACCACTCCATCCGGACCTATTTTGACAAACCAAAAGTTGCATTCTCCCGAGCTTAGAATCTACAGTGCAGCGGTGAGGAAACGGTGAGGAAAAATAATTGTGGTACCCTTCCCCACCGAAACTCTACCTGACCTGGGCACTGCAGGTTTTGGTCCGGTACTTGTAGACAAGAAAACTGAACAGTGCAGGGGCTGGCGGTCTCAAGCTCGAATCCTTGGGTATCACGCTGGAGAAGGGTGCGCTTTCCATTTTGGGGCCTTATGGACTTTCCACCTAGGTTAATTGGCTAACCCGTGCATGCAGCACGGTTGTGCAACCTGGGCAAGTCACCCTGAGGGTCACCTGCATGGGGCAACTCCGTGTAGGCAGAAATCAGCCCTTTTTTTTTCTCTTTTCTCTTTTGATTTTTTCAGGTGGAGGTTTTCTGAGCATGACCAGAGGAGCCGAAATCCAGGCTCCTTTCTCTTTTCGAGGTTTGGCTGTCAAGGGAGGTGCGAGGATTTAGCTCCTCGGCAGGCCTAAGGGGCCCATTTTTGGCATGTGCCCGCCCTAAGTGAAGGCGGGCCTGATGAAATCACGAGGGGCCCATTGTTGTCAAATTCGCATTTGGGGTTCAGGCAGTCGTGTCGCGTCAGTTGGTTGAAGGAACCCAGGCCACGGCCAGCCAAACTTTGTTTCGGCCTTCCAGGCCGAAGCAGGCCCTGGGCCGCATCCGCAGCAGTATACACGACAGGCAGTTGGGAGGCGTAACCAAACGGGGCCCAGGGCAGTAGGAGCACAGGCCCAGCTACCGGGGGCCTACCGGAAGCTTGTGGGCACAGGACCAGCCCAGCCAGGCAGCACACAGGCCAGACTCTTTCCATATAGGAAAGAGCTCGCTGCCTGGCCTGTCATTCGGGCACGTGCAACTTGTGCGGCAGCGCTGCTTGAGCCTGCGCTTGCATGCTGGGTGCTGCGCTGCGCAAGGTGCCCACGCTTGCAGTTGGGAGGCGTAACCAAACGGGGCCCAGGGAAGTAGGAGCACAGGCCCAGCTACCGGGGGCCTACGGGAAGGTTGTGGGCACAGGACCAGCCCAGCCAGGCAGCGCACGGGCCAGACTCTTTCCATATAGGAAAGAGCTCGCTGCCTTGCCGGTCATTCGGGCACGTGCAACTTGTGCGGCAGCGCTAGCCTGCGCTTGCATGCTGGGTGCTGCCCTGTGCAAGGTGCCCACGCACATGCGGTCGTGTGAGGAAGGGCGCTGCTGCGGTTGGCTATAGCTCGGCTTCCATAGCCGGCCGGGCTTGGGTACACAGCAAGGGGGTAGTGGTGGTCTTCGTACATGAAGGAGAAGATGCGGGTGAAAGACAAGGGAGAGAGTAAGAGAGAGATGAGGAAGGTGACATGAGGGCTCATACCTGGTTGTGGTGATAGTCTGCAAGTGGTGACATCTTCTGTACTTCGGTGGCTTCTGACGTCAACAGTTGCATTGTCAATTCGTAGGCAGATAGTAGCTGTGTGGGAGTAGTCTGGGCGTCGAGCGCCAAGTAGGGGGAAGGGCCTGGACACTTATGTTGGTGATGACGAGAGTAAGCTCTCGTTGAAATTCGGTTCGAGTGTTTCGATTCTCCCTTTGTGGAATATTTGTGCAATGCTTCTTTCTGGACACCGTGGGACTTTCTGGCTTTCAATGCGATTGTGCAATCTGGAATCTGTCATCACGCTATTGCTCAAATTCCTTGCAATTTGGTAGTGGAGCTGGTTCGGACTGCACTTGTTGGTTCTTCACAATAGCTATTCGTTGCTTCGCATGTGTTGGTGGGGCAGTGATAATGCTTAGGTGTTGTACGAACGGCGGCCCAGGGTCATGTGGGTGTGCCAGGAAGGCTATGAGGTGACAATGGGGTGTACGCTGGATGATGAGAACTTGCTGATGTGACACTTAAGCCGAGGTGGAACTGCATTTCAATGTTTGTTGTGCCAAGGCAAAGACCGGTCGTCATAATTGCACGTCGGTTGCTGGTGAGAAATCTGTGGTTGGGGGCAGCATTATGAGGTACGTTGCTCTCTTCCTTATCTACCCTCTTCATTACTTCTTACCGTGAGGAAGTGAACTATGTCTTGAGAGTCGTCTTGATGTGAGGTGTCGTGAGCGGTCAACCTTGAGAGTCGACATTCTTCCTGGGCAGCAAGCTGGTGGGAGACGGGCAAAGCCTTTGAAGGGCCCTGGACGAAGCACTCGGGTCACGTTCACCATGCCAACCCACTGGGACTAGTACACGCATGCTTTGCCGTAAGTCCTTGGTTCTGCTTGCTGCGCTGATAGAGGCCATGCTGGCCATGCCAGCCCTATAAGAGACGCTTACCAGACCGCTTATAAATATTTCTGGCGGGTTACTGTTGAACCCTGGCTGTGATCGTCGTCCTGAGGCTGATAATTGCATAGATATCTGTTTTAGAACAATCTAAAAATAGAAATAGAGCCGCCTTTCAGGATCTGACATTGATTGCTGGTTACCGCTTGACGACTTTCCTCTAGGCTGACCGAAATTAGCTGTTTATTATTACTCGGGTGAGTGTCATGCTGAGGTAGGATTCAGTGTGGATTCTAG